TGATAATACCTGGTACTTTAGTATTATAGCCTAACAACTTACGTGTAATTTTAATATCTATAAATCACAATTCAATTGTATATAGTCAACTTATTATTTATCAGTAATAATATAAAAATACTGTGTTCAGTATATTTGTGTAATTTTGCTCTACGTGTTTTAATGTAAAATATGTAGTTTACATAAATAATATATAGTATTATGTGATTTTAGAATATCATGAATATGAAAATGTTATACCTATATATATCAAAATAAGTACATATGCTTTATAAAATACAATTGAGCAATATTCATGTCTTTTTTTTTGCAATTAGTAATAATCACATGGTTATTTATCTTTTAATTATTACTTTAGCACTGTGATTTATAGCATATATAAATAATATTATGTGATTCATCTAGTAATTGCGAATAGGCTTTACCTGTCAGTATATCTGACAAAATTTGAAAATGATATATATAATGACCAATGTCCCACCTCGTTAATTCAAAAAATTAAAAGTCAACAATGTTTGCATTGCCGCATTTACCTAGCTTTAGAGGCACATCAGGTAGACTATCACATGTTCTGACATTCAACAATCAACCTTGGATGTTAACACAGTACTTTAAGTTTAAACTGATAACAAGCGAAAGCATTAGTGTAATAGCAACTACTTTTTTACAAGCAATGACGCCAGATGGTCAGCAAAGTATAAAATATGATTTTATGACAGCTGCCACACGTCAATTACGATATAGATGATCAGAAGATAGATAGATAACTATGGTGATGAAAGTTGAACATGTAGTTAACATTCCTTATGTTGACGGTTTTAATTTCGCTGATGGTTTTGATATTGTTCAAGTTTTAGTTACTGATTTGATCGATGAAAATTTAGCAAAAAGAGAAGCTAAAGCATTACGATACATTTATAGTGATCACTTTGATATGTTATTGAAGATACTTCATGATATGGACATTCACTTGACGATCTTGTTGAACATCAAAACATTCAAGTAACCTGCTTGTTAAGTGGCTAGGAGGTAATGAGTCTTTCAAATGCTGGAACAGACTTTGCTATATCAAGAGTTGTAACTCAACATTACAATTGGGAAGGCATACATCTGGCAACCAGAATTTTAGACATGAAGAACTCTGGAATTATAATTGACGCCTTCATTGCAAAATCATGAAACGTGATAAGTTTATCTGGGTTAACGAGTACACGGGAGAAGAAACAACATTAAACGTAAAATTTATAAGAAAGTAAAGCATCAAGTTTATGCTGATATTTCTTCTGGCATAAACTATAATATATTTATTAATTACACTAAGGATAATAACTTTGTAGAAATATATACTAAAATATTTAAAAAAAAACAGAGGAGGGATGATCAATTCGGTTATAGAATTTAATAAAAGTTTTTAGTTTCTGGTAGTCTATAATTTAATCCTAATGGTTCTTTGATCAATCTTATATAAATATCAATAATTTATTTGGAAGAATTTTTAAAATAATTTCTCTTATGTATGTTTCTTATACAAAATGTTTGTATGATAATTTTTTATTTCATGGTTTCGCAGTTGGAGACTGCTTTGAGTTTTCATCGCCTGTTATTATATTTATTTCGCATATATATACAATACATATAGTATCACGTGAAGTTTACTCTGACATTTTTTTTAACGGTATTTAATAACGATAATACAGTCAGTATTTAATAACGATAATACAGTAATAATTTAAAAATGCCAAATGATTTTTGTATATCACATAAATCAACTTTTTTGACCAATAAAATTTCAGTTTTAACTTATCACATGAAGTCATTTCGATTTTATTGGTTGAAAAAAATTGTTGTATACAAAGTTTCTGAGTTCTCATTTGTCTATTTGTGAATTACAAATCCACGTGAATTTTTTAAAGAATTTCTAACAGTTCCAGTTCTAGCATCTGTTAACTACGTGATATTTGTTGTTTATTCGTTGATTATAAAAATGCAAACCAATATTCCAATATTTATAATTATTTTACAATAGAACATTTATTAAAATTTCATTTATTTAGAATGATGAATACAGCAATATAATACTTTCAAAGTATCTTCATAGCAAATGATTGAAAAAATTTATTAAGGCTTATTATTTTGAAAAATTGCCAAACACTTAAGATAAAAACAACTAAAACGTCTAACAACAATCAACCTTTAATAGTATTTTGAGAAAATTCTTCCAAACTACTCGATTTGATTTCAGCAGCATCCAAGTTAATAATCTGAGAAGGATTATTAACCCTACAAGATTCGTCAGAGTTAAGTAAAGATTCTAATCTTCTATTCTTTTGTTTAAGCTTATTGAGTTGTATTCTAATTGTATCTTCAATACTAAATTGCTCTTTCATTTGTTGATCATGAAAATCTTGAAAGGTTTTATGTTCTTTTTTCAGAGAAACGTATTGTGATATTGCACTATTTTTGTCTATCATTAAATCATTAACTTTTTTATTCATTGATTCGAGTTCGTTTTGTAAATCTTCAATCTATAAAAATGATATATACAGTAATAACAGTAATATTAGGAATATATAATAGCTTTTTTCTAAAAAAAAAAATTTAAAATAAGCTTCTCTTATCCTTTAATTTAATATTTTCTTCTAAAGTTATATTGTAAAGGTCTTTATAATAATCAACTCCATCTCCTAACAATGATGCAATCTCATTTTCCAAAAGAATAATTTTTTGTTCTTTTTCATTATTATCTAATTGCATAGCTTCATAATCTCTTTTCAACTCAGCCAACTTAACTTCTAGCTTAGAAATTTCACATTTGTTAATGAGGATATCTCTTCTAAGTTGCTTATTTTCTGTTTCCAATCTATAAATTAAAAAAATATTATTAACAAATTAAAATCAAATATAATATATAAAATATTACCTTCTAACTTTTTCTTTATATTTTATTTTTTGATCATTAAATCTTTGTTCTAAACTTCCTTTACTTGCTAATACGTCACGTTTAGATGACTCCTCAATAATACTCTTTCAAAGTTTAAGTTGTTTAATTTCATCATCAAAAAAAGTATTGTCACGGCTGATTATGAAATCGGATTATTGTGAAATTTGGATCTATTTCATATATGATTTTTAAATTTTTTTGGGCCTTTTTTGTAGGCTTTTTTTTATAGTTGAGTTAGGATTTAGGGTTGAGTTTTTAATAAAAGAGTATTGGTGGATTTTGGTAGGGCTTATATTTTCAAATTGAGACCCCAATTTTCACAATAATCCGATTTCATAATTAGACATGACAAGTATTATCTTTTCTCGGAAATTGTACTTTATACCACTCAATATATCTGATATGTTGATTAAACTCATTGATCCAATAGACTTTGTCTATTCTATTATTTCTATTTCCACTTCTTGTAAAAGTAGATACCGCACGAGTATCACATTTTGTGGAGGTCTTACTAATTTTCACAGAGGTTTTCTTTCTTCTGGGAGGAGACATTTTTTTAAAAGTAAAAACTGCTCAGATTTCATTTATTTATAATTACTTTAAATATTATCATCACAGCAGTTTAAATAATAATATAAATTATTTTATTTAATGAAGTGATATTCCACTGAATATCGGGACGAGCTCTTTTATTGTGACTGAGAATTCTGCCACTGGTCGAGAGTCTGATCAATCCACTTGAGCTCATCTGACCTTAAACAATAAAGTACAAAAGTGAATATCTATAATATAAAAAAAAAATAAAAAAATAAAATAATAATAACTTCCTTCGAATAATGTATAAAAAAAGTAAAGTTTTTTAAAAAACTAGATCTCTCGATTATCTACACTTAAATATATATCTGGTATTGTTAATTTTCTGCATTGTTAAAAAAAATCAAATATCTTTTGAATTACAGTATGAAAAATTACAAATTTTATTATGTAATAAATATATTACAGTATTATCATTATAGAAATTGCATGATTTTCTTAAAATTTACTTTATCAATACATATTTATATGGTAAACTGATTTTAACCAAATTGATAAATTGTATATTTTTTACAGTATACATAATATTACTCTTAACAAAATATTAATGTCATTAGTAACCACATAATATCTATTATGTATATATTCAAAACAATAAATCAAATTTATTAGTCACTTAGTAACTTAATCTGATTTCTGTGATAGAATTATGCAGGTTTTCAATCTTTGTATTCAAACTTATCCAATTTTATTAGTTTAATTACCCATTGGAAAAGTTGACTACAAATGCTATTTAAAAATATAAGAGTGAATATATGAAAATAAACTAAATGAAAAACAATTTTAACTTTTCATCAATAATCGAGTCCAAGTTTCATTGTAAAATAATTTAATTTCCTTTGAAATTAATCGTACAGTATGTCCACAGGTTATTTCCTCATTACTTAAAAATAAATATGCATTATAGATATGTAGAATGCTGACAAGTTCTCAATCCAATTTCATGATTATTAATATGTTTGCATAGGTCTACAAACAACCTGTTCTGATTAGTCTCGAAATCTGAATGAATTTTTGGGCCAGACTAGATCAGAAAATTCTCTCTTTATCAAGAATAAATGTACTAATTAAACTTTGTTCGCATGATCTTCTCAGGAGTTACCAATCAAACAAGTCTTTAGCCAGTTAAGTAATTATGATAGCGTGAAATATTAGAACACCTTGCATAATTATTTCAGAAAGACAAGATTTATTTACTCTTGCATAACTATGAAATGTTAGAAAGCCTTGTGTGATCTTCTCAGGAGTTACTAATCAAACAACTCTTTAGCCAATTAAGTAATTGTGATAACGTGAAATGTTAGAACACCTTGCATAATTCTTTAGCCAGTTAAGTAATTATGATGACATAAATGTTAGAACACCTTGCATAATTATTTCAAAAGGATAAGGTCTATTTACGCATAACTGTGAAATGTTAAAAAGCCTTGCGTGATCTTCTCAGAAGTCTTTAGCCAGTTAAGTAATTATGATAACGTGAATGAAATGTTAGAACAACTTGCATAATCATTTCAAAAAGACAAAGTTTATTTACTTGCATTACTATGAAATGTTAGAAAGCCTTGTGTGATCTTCTCAGAAGTTACCAATCAACAAGTCTTTAACCAGTTAAGTAATTATGATAACGTGAATGAAATATTAGAACGCCTTGCATAATCATTTCAGAAAGACAAGATTTATTTACTCTTGCATATCCGTGAAACGTTAGAATGCCTTGTGTGATTTTTCAGGGGTTATCAATTAAACAAGTTATTAGCCAATTAAGTAATTATGATAGCATGAAATGTTAGAACGCCTTGCATAATCATTCCAGAAAGACAAGATTTATTTACTCTTGCATATCCATAAAATGTTAGAATGCTTTGTGTAATCTTTCTGGAGTTATCAATTAAACAAGTCATTAGCAAATTAAGTAATTGTATATGAAACATTAGAACGCTTTGGACAATCAATCATCTCAGAAAGACATGATTTATTTACTGTAAAACCCTTACATAATCTTTCAGGAGTTATCAATAATTAAATGTATATGAAATATTAGAACGCCTTGCATAATCATTTGGAAAGACAAGTCTTTAGCCAATTAAGTAATTATAATCATTTAAAAAATTTATTTACTTGTATAACTGTGAAATATAAGAATGCCTTGCGTGATCTTTTATCAGGAGTTATCAATTAAACAAGTCTTTAGCCAATTAAGTAATTCCAATTAAGTAATTGTATGTGAAAAATAAGAACATCTTGCATAATCATCCTGGAAAGACATAATTTATTACCAATTACAATCATCTTGAAAAGACATGATTTATTCACCAATTACAATCATTTTTGGAAAGACATGATTTATTTATTTGTATGACTGTGAAATGTAAGAATGCCTCACGTGATCTTTTATCAGAAGTTATCAATTAAACAAATCTTTAGCAAATTAAGTAATTGTATGTAAAACATTAGAACGCCTTGCATAATCATCCTGGAAAGACATAATTTATTTACCAATTACAATCATTTATGGAAAGACATGACTTATTTATTTATATGACTGTGAAACATAAGAATGCCTTGCATGATCTTTCATCAGGAGTTATTAATTAAACAAGTCTTTAGCCAATTAAGTAATTATATGTGAAACATTAGAATAAAAGACATGATTTATTTACTTGTATAACTGTGAAATGTAAAAATGCCTTATGTGATCTTTCAGGAGTTATCAATCATCTTTAGAAAGACAATTTATTTACTTGTATAACTGTGAAATATTAAAACATCTTGCGTGATCTTTCAGGAGTTATTAATTAAACAAGTCTTTAGTGAAACATCTCCAAAGACACATGACCTTTTGAAAAGATATCAGTTAAACAAGTCTTTAGCCAATTATTTATTGCTTTAAATTTTTTGATCTTTTCACTACTTCTTGAATGTTTATCGGTCAGAAATTCAATGAAGAAATCATTTTAATTTATAATTAATTACAAATTTATAAAATAATAAAAGTTCAAAATCATAATTGAATAAAAAATTAACCATTTTGATAATATAATTAATTTGAAACTTACTACATAATTCAATTTTGCAAAAAATAAAACAAAATTAAAATCATAATTGCATAAAAAATTAAATTACTTAAACAACAACAATCAATTAAAGGTTTTGTTCTTCCAAGTTTAACTGATACATTAATTATCTTTTTCAATTAAACAACTAATTAATTTCTTAATATTTTGAGAACCAACTTCCTGAAAATAATTAATTGTAATGTTTGAACATCTCAATTTTTCGAGTATTTTTTCTCGGTGAATTTTTTCCTTATCAAATTCTTAAATAATAAAATAATTAATCAAAAAAGTTTGATTTTTAGAATAAAATTCTTATTTACCTTTGATTATCAAAGTCAAATTGTCATATGATTTCCTCCAAAATGTTGTTATTGAGTAAAGATTTAAATAAACATTTCCAGGATCTGGAATGGTTTCTCTAATCAATCTGTTTATTTCTTTGTTTTTCAGATTTGGAGAATCAAATTTCTTTCCTTTGATTGAATTATATAATGATTTACATAAATTAAATCTGCTACAAAATTCAATCCAGTTCAAATTAATTTTTTCTTGTACCATCTTAGCATGCAAATCTAGATTGTACTTCTTCCAATTGTCCTTCCAATTTTCTAAATTACTTTTTTTTTTTTTTT